TCGTCTTTTTTTTTTTTGACATTCTCACACATCTCAGCTGCAGATGTCCAGAGTTTTTCTCCTGTCGTTTGCTTTGTGTTTTCCCCCCACCCCCTCTCCCCCTGCCTGAGCCGGGGATCACGCTTTCACTAAAAAAAAGAGCCGTGTTTATCAGATATTTTCAAAGCTGCACCGCTTGGCTTACAGATGTCTCTCTTAAAGCCCTCACCTCGATTATGAAACATTTAAACTCGGCAGATTTCTCACAAATCCATCTGAACTCCTGAGCAGAGGCCTGATCTCGGAGCTAAGCACAGGCGAATAACCACAATAGTAACGACTAGTGCCCAAACGTCTGCTGATGCCGAGAAGGAAAATGCTTTCTTTTTTGTCTTTCTTTCCCTCTTATGGGGAAAAAAACACTATCAGGTTGTGTAGTGGAACTCAGACTGTCATTTTAAAGCACTTTTGTGTCTGATTTTGGTTCTGGTAAGTGGAAAGTTACAGCAGAATAACATGTGGAGGCTTCAACTATATCTTATGCCTAAACCAATTTAGAATTTGTGGCACAATAAGGGGGAAAAAATGATTTTTTTGAGTTATTAGGTGTTTGGAGGTTGAGATGGACTGTTGGGGAAACTTGTAGTGATTAAGTGTTTCATCACCACAAGAGCTTTATGGCGGTGTCGTTAAACTGGGGTAACTTGGAATCTCAGTCGGAGAAATGACAGCCCACCTCACACACGCCGGCGCCAGATCACAAAAGTCACCTCTCTGTTTCTTTGTGGATATTTTTAAGGGTGGCATTGCGAATCTTTGGAGCAAACGTGAAGCAGCCTGAGATGTCCGGTGCTGTCCTTGATGCTGAATCTGCATGGGGGTTTCAAATACAACATGCATAGTCGGATCCTCATCTGCAGCAAAGCTTCAAATTCTGGTCTGGGATTTGCTAATCATTTTGTTCTACAAGAGCGATTTTTACGTATTTTTTTTGCTAAACGAGAAGCAGTCAGAGACCTTTGACCGCTTCTCTTTGGCAGGATAGATTTGGTGCTGAACCTGCACTGTTCCCTCAATAAAGATCGCGCTTCAACATCCTCCTGATTGAGGATCGTCATGAGTGCTGTTTTTGCTCAGACTCGCCTGAAAACCGGTTAGCTGAGTCGGTTTATTTTGAGCTTTGATGAGAAGTTCTAGTTTTAACCATTAGAGAGAATCTTTTTGCAGTTCTCAACCCAGTTCTGCCTCTATCCTTGGTCCTGAACATGAATCCCAGCATCAGTAACTCTCCATGGTTCAGATTCTTTGATACAGAGACTGAGATCCGGAGCTGTCCTTGGTACCGAGTCCGGAACTCTTGTTCTCATCTTCTGATATGGAGATTGGAACTGTCCATGGTACTGAGCTTTCGGATTGGACTAGTTCTGGCGTTCTCCTTGGTACCGAGACTGCATCTTATGGGCCGTCATGCCAGCACAAGGTACTGTCCTTAGTTCTGAGCTGTGGAAATGCTGAGTCTTGCTCAGAACTGTCCTCATCACTGGATTTTCATGCCATAAATGCACACAGACTGCTGCAGCGGACACGAGTACAGCACTCCACACACTGCCAGCTACTGGTCATCCACTGCAAGTGCAAGAAAATATTTGTTAAATCCAATATGGCAGACGGATGAATATCCAGTCCCTCCTTCTACTGTAGAAGATTCTTGCAAAACACATATTGCCACATCAAGTAATCCCTAAAGACTAATATTGTGCATGTATTTTCCAAATACCAACCTTGTATTTAGAAAGAAAAATTACAACTGATCACCTTCTTCATGGTTTAAGAAAATCAAAAACATTTTAGAAAAAAACAAAATCCTGACACAAAGAATCGTAATTCGTGCATGAAACGGTTAATATTCAGTCTTCACCAGTAGCTGGCGCTGTCTCTAGACAGGCATTGAGTTTGCCACATGGCAGACTTATGGGCGGTACGGGGAACCATTTTGGTCTTCTTTTTTGGTTTCTTTTGCAAAGTAAGATGCTTCATCATTCCTACAGCCCTTTAGCCGCTTCCCTGATTACTGTGCTCCTCTTTGGCTCATCTGTTTAGGTCCAATCAGGGAGAATGGAATAAATTAAGGAAGTTTTATTTATTTATTTATTTATTTTGTATTTACACTCATCTGGGCAAAGAGCAATGAAACAGATGTAAAACCAAAACATCTGCATGTTGAGGATTCTTCCTGTCAGAAACGAACACATCCAGAACAAAGAAACATAATAATGAAAAAAAGACTTCTATGAAAAGGTCTCAACTGCAAAACTTCAGGTATTAAGAGAGACGAGGTAAAGCAGAGCGGACAACGCTAACTGGACTGAATCCAGTAGAGTCTTTTGTTGGTCTATGATTGTCGGTGGTCCAAACTCCCAAGATAAGGATTAGGAAATACTAACCAAAACAACAAAATACACAAGAAATTTAAGGTAATAAAAATGGCACTGCTTCATTTCCTGATCAAACAGAAGCGCGGCCTGGCCTCTGACTCGTTCCATGCCTGCTTTAAGAATTCATGAGCCACTAAAATATCCCAATATTTCACTCTAAGTGAATGCTGGACCCAAATTGGACAAAATAAGCAGAATAATGGTTTTCCACAATTACACAAGGTTGGACTCCAGCAGTATTAATGTGTTGACACACATAACGGGGAGCGGTTCATTTGTACCGCTCAGTTCAGTTTTGGAGTTCTGCATCTAGTTTTCCTCCCGTAGTTCTTCCAGCTCCGCTTCCGCGAGATTTATGGCTCCGTTCCCCCCTCCCACCCCCGCCATCCCCCTCAGGTGATCTATATGGATTGTCATCGAAAAACGCAGGGCCAACGCAAAGGAATCATCCGTCTGCAATTTGTTTGGGACGAAGTGGGTCATAACCGAAGCGTTTCTGCTGTGTGTTGATTCAGTCAGCCAGACAAAATGCCTCATCCCTTCGTCACGCAAAACATGCGGTTGCGATCTTAAAACTGAACAAGATATTGAATAAAATTCACTGGCAGAGTGAAGACGTCCCCCCCTCCAGTCTGTACAGGCTTCAGCCATCTGCCACTGGTTGTCTGGTATGGATGAGTGCCGGTTCACTGTTTGTTTGGGTTTGTTTTTGTTGTTAAATCCAATTTGATTAGAAAAAAATTTTTGATAACAAAACTGTAACACAGCAGTTTATGGGAGGTCCTTCCCGCCCCCTCCAACCAAAATGAAAGTGCATGAATGGAAGTCCTTGCAGCCAAACGCTGATTTGATTTGAAAGCCTTAATGGAGGCACATCCAAGCCATCCTCCCCAGGGGGCGCTCCCCCTGCCAGAAGCAAAGAGCTCTTGTGTCGTGTTTGCGGCCCAGTAATGTAGCTTAAATAGAGGAAGACCAAGCCGCCCTCTTCCACTCCCCCACCCAGGGATTGACAACCTTTTCAGAAATTACAGTGGGTTTCTGTGCCCAGATTGATGATGGTATCACTGAATCAAACAGCTCCCAAACACTGGGGTAGGGTCTGGAAGTGGGTACCAGGAGCTTGGCAGAGCAAAAAAATGTTACTGCAATAATGTGGCCAATTATGGATTAAGGGTCAGCTTTCAATTTGTCCATCATTTCCTCTTTATTTATTTGTTTTTTATTGAGTGCAGAAAGTTTTAAACCCAAGATAACTCATGTTGTTGTCAACTCGTTCACATGGAATGGAAACACAAAGCAAAGGACTCAAATAAAATGAGCTTTTGTGTCAATTAATAATCTGTCGTAAAACGACACGAAAAGATCTGGCGATTTTTAGAATACTTCATTCTTGTGCGTGAGCAACCGGTTTTCAAAAAGAAAAACCAAGCAAAATTCTTCATTTAGATGAAAAAAAAAATTGGTTCATGCATTCAGACCTGGATATAGTTCGCTTTGACTGGAATGTCACAGAGCCTGCAGTATATCTATATTTGAATGCTTCCCTGGGTGGCGCTTATTGTCAGGAGCTTATGGACGTTCCTTTTTTTTTTTTTTTTTCCTCACCCTTTCACTTTGGCGTTCATGTTCCGCTTCCTGGTTTCCTGTGAGTTCTTCCAGCGACTCCACAGTTTCTGACCAGCCACCTGCTCCTCCTCCAGCAACCAACTCCCCATCTTCTCACTCCGCTCGTAGTTTCCATCAGCGCGTCTCCTGATCCTCGTGGTTTCATTTCTCTCAAGTTCTCGGTTTGTCTCAGTTTGACCGAATGAACGTTTTATTGCTCTTTTCAATGCCTTCCACGTTTGCAGGAGAACACTTAACTTCTTAAGTTGTTCTCAGAAGCACATCGGTTCTTTTGTCACCGGCTTCCTGTTTGACCAGAAATGAGGTTTTCGTTTCTGGGTTTTGGTCTATAAAGCACTTGTCAAACGTGCACCATGTCACTGTCATCATTATGACCTTTCTGACCTGACGCCGATCTTTGACTATATTCTGTCCACCAAGACCTTCAGTCCAACTGTGTCTATTGGGGGATAAATCGAAGAAAAAGTTCAAAGGGTTCGAGTTTATTGTGAAGCACTGCAGTGTGAAATATTCTTTGTTGTGGATATGTTTGTTTGTTTGTTTTTTTTGCCTTCATCGCCCTCAAGTTGCACCTAGACTCAGCTGGTGGGACTGGCCCCCATCGATCAGTGAAATAATAATAAAAAAAACAATAGATTCAGTGCGTCAGGACTTGGTAACGCCGTGGCTCTCCGAACAGCAGCAAAAATAAAATAAAATGAGAGAGAGAGAGAGAGAAGATTTATTTCTAATCGAAGCGGGTTCTCCGGTGGACATGATTGAACTTTCACTTACGTGTTGGAGCCGAACGAAGAGCTGAAATCGCTGCTATCCGATTCAAACGTGCCTATAAAACAGAGCCGCGTACAATAATGTTTCGAAATGATGATTTGAATCGACGGGGCCACTTTCGGATGGTTCCTTTGCATTGATTTTGGCTGGAAGCGGTATTAGGGTGGAGGTGGTGGGGGGGGGGATACGCACACGCGCGCTCACACCCCAGCTCAATACCTTCTCGCCGTATTTTACGCAGCTTCCATTGGATGTTGGCGTCACGGCACCAGTCTGTGGCGATATCTGCGGCTTTCTCGCTGACGTAATATTGACTGATCCGAATGTTTACTTTGGACACGATCACTTAGAGGCGCACATTGCGCTCCTTCCCTCTCCCAGCCTCCGTCCGCGCTTTCTCCCGGCGCTCAACGCAACGGATCCTCATCCGTTCCCAGCCGAAAGGGTCACCTTAAAGGAGTTTTTTTTCTTTTTTTTCCCTTTGCGTGTGTGTGCGTGTGTGTGTGTGCGTGCGTGTGTGTCAACCGCTCCTGGGATTCTATTCCGTTCGAGTCGAGCCGTGGACAGACACCACAGGTGAACGGAGCTGAACCGGCGCTGCGGTAGAGATGATTGAACAGTTCCAGGTTTTTTCCATGAGCGCAATCTGAGCCTGATTTGACTGGAAACCGAGGTCCTTCGTGGCACTTTGTGGTAACTGAGGCGGACCGAGTTTTTTTTTTTTTTTTTTTTTGAAGACATAAAAAAATATATTTATATATTTCTCCTCTGGCTTTCCTCTGGATGATATGACCTTTTCTTCTGCGCAGCGTTGGCCGCTTTCCTACCAGTTTGTTGGATCTTTGTCATGCCTTTTTTTTTCTTCTTTTTTTTTCTTCTTTGCGGGATTACTCACGGAGATATGAGCGCACTGACAAGTCCAGTTGGATTGTAAAACAAAATTGAGATACGTTCTTTAAACCCCCACACCTCCCCCCCCCAAAAAAATTCTTGCTCAGTTTTTTAAAATATTCTTCTTCTTGTTATTATTATTATTATTAATAATATTATTATTATTTTTCCCTCCGAAGCGGGAAGTGCTGCTTTGTGGTAATCAATGGCTTCGGTGCCGAGATCGGCAAGGCGCAAAGATGCCACTCGCTGGCCGAGGATGTCGTCAACTTTTTGGGCTGTGCTGCTCCTGACGGCGCTGCTAGTTCTCTACTGCGGTAAGTTCCCCCGCCACCCCCCATTCCCCTTCTATCCCCCCCTTCCCACTCCCAGTCGCTGATTTCTTTATTATTTACCTGACCGCTGCGCAGTGGTGGGTGGGGGGTGGGTTGGGGGTGGGTGGAGGGGGGCACTGTGTCATGTGAATAGTGATGATTTCTCTTAACCCCTCGGTAATTTGCCTGCAGAGCGCATTGGGCTCCACGCTGCACGTCTGAAAGCGGCTGTAGCTGGAAAGAGAGAGAGAAAAAAATAATCACGCGTGAATTAGTGCCCGATCGCGATAGGGCCGCACGCGCGTTATCTGCGCGGGACGCCAAAAACGCTGCAGTGGCGGATCTTGCACATGTGGCACCCAGGGCAGAATATCACCAGAGAAGGAAAAAAAAAATAAAATAGATGCATTTTCAGATTTGGAAGCTATCAAAACTTTAATATATATATATATGATCATTGCTGAGATGAGAGGATTCTTGTTCAGCTCAACAAGGTGATGTCAGCATCATGCTGTGGGGGCTGCCTGCCAACCACTGAGATCTAAACATTATTTCATCAGTGCAAAAACAATCAGGCCCATGTTTGATCAGTCCATGCTGATAGTGTCGATGTTAATCCCAGTCTGTGTTGTGCTCCGTGTAAAACTTCGTTTTTAAAGGAGAGGTATTCAGTTCAGCTGCAAATACATTTACAAATGTAAATGTAAGAAACATTTCGAATCGGATCAAATCGATACAAATCAATAATACAGAAAGAATTAAGACACAGGCGTCACACTTCTGATATAATAGTAGACAGACAAATATTTGTAGTTCTATAAATACAGCTTGTAAAGCACTGGCCAAATCAAGATTTCAACTGACACCAGAAAACTGGAAAAAAGTTCATCCCCCACAAAGAAGTTTAGACAAATTTGTTCAAGTCATGTACAGTAAAGTGTGATGGTACTAGAAATAAGTATTGAACGCATGGAGCAACAAGTGAAAAGGCATAAAAAGTCAAGAAACCACCTGAAATCTGTTTTTGAACAGCCTTCCTTCTGCTACATTCAAATCGATATTTATTTTCATATTAAGTGACGGCTCATGAAGAATCCATCAACTCCAAAGGACTGTTGAGTGGCACTTTGGGCATAAGCAAAAAAAAAAACTCGTGCAATCTCTTGCTGTAGCAAAATATAGTACCAGCAATCGTATGTGTCATCTAAACTTCTATATGTGCCTTTAAGAACCACATTCGGGAAATAAAAAGAACATTTCACCGTAAACCAGCCATTGGTTGACCTCCCATGTCAGATTTCTGACTGAGGAATCAAAAAATTTAGAGTTGCCTGAGAGACACAGAGTACTTGTGGAAAACTCCAGAAAGTCAGGTAGGCACAATTTTCCTACGACAACAAGAAAAATTGTGATGTCTGAGCACACTCGTTGCACAAGACTCCACTACTGAATTAAAAAGCGTGTTGAAGCTTAATGGCCAGTGATGAACAAGGATCACTACTTTGGGGAGATGAGACCAAAGCTTTGAATGTTAATGGAGGAAACGCACCATATGAAATGTGACGTGTGCAGGTCGGAACGCCGTGCTGTGTGCTGCCAGACGGCATGTGGTGCTGGAATGGAGGAATCTACCGGGAGAGTCTTTGGTAAGAACGTGGCGAAGGAACGAGTGCGAGTTTCCCAGAATGAAATGTTTCCCCAAACGCTCAGCTAAGGAAACTCTCAGTTGGCTGCAGAGAAACTAAGTGAAACCGCTAGAAATGGCCCAGTCAATCACCCAACTTGTGTCCAATTGGAAATCTTTGGAAAAAACCAAAGTTTAGAGGTGAAGATGTTAAGAGCAGACCAAAATCTCACCTGAGCAATTTACGCAACAACTGCCAGTAAGAAGCTATTACCAGAAAAGGCTTTAAAACAAAGTATTGACTATTTTTCTAGATGTATGTTCAATATTTACTTTCCTGTCGTTCCATATAACTTCACTTGTGGATAAAATTTGCTTTGATTTCTTTGAATGTTTGTGTTCTTACCAAGACCTGGTGTGAGTTTTATGCCGATAGAAATATCAAACGTTTTCAGCAGAACGAAACTTAGAAACCTTAAAAGTTTATCTTTAATCAATGTTCCCTGCATGTGCAGAAGAATCTCATAAGGGGAGGGGACAAAACCCGACTAACAAATCCTCATAAATTTGGCACTGTTCCTCATTATCACCCTTTCATGCATGAATTATGACAACCTCGCGTTGGAATTTCCCCGAGGGTTTTCAATCATCTTTATGGATGCTGTTGTAGACGTCTTTGGGGGCGTCGAGGATTCACGCGCAAAAACGTCAGGGGGCCGAATTTGAAAACTGCATAAAAATATGCGGCATTGTTGTTCAACTGACATGGTCACAAATGTCAGCCTTTTCTAAATCCTTCCCCTGTGACGCAACAATTTTTCCCCCCCTCGATTCTGATTCCTCAACCTGTCCTCCCGTCTCAGTTGTCTGCCAGCGATAAGCGATCGCTATAGCAGCACAAAAACCCGTCGCCTTTGAAACATTTTGTGTTTGAGCTTCCAGATGTCAAGGTTTTTTTTTTGTTTGGTTCGTATTCGCTCCGTTAGCATCCACACCCTACTCATTTATTTATTTGACGTATTTCAGTTTGGCCTTTTAAAAACGCACAATGACTTTGATATATTTTGGCATGTATCTTGTTATAAAATGCTACGAAGCAGAAATATTCCTATGCTTAAGTATTAATAAAACTGTTCAAATAAAACCAATGAAACATGATGGCCACTTTAGCAGATTAAAGGCAAATTGGTATTTCTTGAAAAAAGGTGATATTTTAGTGCCCAATGTTGAAATGTTTGATTTACAGAACGATCCAGATACGTGCATGATTTGCTTGGCCAGTAGGTGGCAGTATATGGAGTTAGACTCTAGAATCAAAAGCTTGTGTGCAGGTTTACCACCAACATCCACACACATGAAAAACATTTTTTGATCGCTACAGTTACCACCATTTGTGATCACTATACTGTTGTTTTTTTGTTGTTTTTTTAGTTTCGAAATTTGTTTTCACAAATTCATCCATCCCAAATATTTGTAGGTGTACTTGCTCACTTCCCAGTGTCTGGATTCGTGAACAAGTAACATAATATTCTGCTGAAGTTCTTGTGGTGCCCCAAGAGTGATGCCACCCGGGGTGGTGAGCCACACAAACCATATACGTAAAAATGCTTCTAAAACACAGAACTGATATCAGGGAGATATCATATTTCTGAATGAGCCCCATTTAGCTGTAAGGACAGCATGCTCCAACAATGCCATCATTAAGCAAATGTATGCAGACCATCAACCTCCCAGCACACATACTTACACTTACACACACACTCACACACACACACTGCACTTCCTCAGGCTACTTCTCTGGTACCCTTGCACCTTCCTATCTCTCCCTCCTGCCTGCCTGCCCTATCTGTCTCAAGCTACATGTGACTCACTTTTGAGCAGAAATCCAGCTGGCACACGGCCGCTCAGTCTGCTACATGTGAGACACGGAGGCCAGCTGGAAAAAAAAAAAAAAGCCAGCCAAACACAACTGTGCATTTTAAAGATCCTATCCACTGACACACAAACGCGCACAGTTGCACCTCATCGTTCATTCCTTCGTTTCCTATTTACAGTGTGCGGATGAGTCAGTTTGCTTTGCAGTCACATGAGCTTCAGGTTAATCAATGGGGTGGATTATGAGAAGCAAAGCCTTAAGATAAGAGGAAGGAGGTGGACCCTTTTCTTCTTTCGTGGTGCCTTTAGCCATGTCAATTGATTGCGTGCTTGTGTCCGATCAATAGAGCCTGGTTGTTTGTTTCAGTGCAAGATTCCCCCACCTCTCACCTAGCAACACCTTTTACTCTTAGTCGGCTCCACACCAGCTCCAGCGAATCTGGCTTTATCAAAGATGAAGCTGACATAACTCATGTCCAAACTTCTCCCCTCCTTGTTTTCATCTGACTGGTTCCCGCAGCGTTGCATTTTCTTTCGTTTCCGCCATGTTCCATTTGTTTCGGCTTTATCCTGGGCTGCTCGGCTGACCGCTGCCCCACCTGTGGTGAATATATGTTGCTGTGACGGAGGTCTCCTGCTCTCCCAGCGTCTCCCTTTCTCTCCACAGCTCTGCACTCCTGTTCTCCCCTAATCAGTCTGTATTTATGGAGGCGCAGCTTATTACTTTCCTTTTAAAATACCGTAAACAGCGGCGACTCAACTGTAATGTAAAACAGGGGAGCAGCAAACTGATTTTTGCTGAGGAGATAAAAATTCACATCAGATAAATGGTTTTTCAGCCGATTGTATTATTTTTGCATTAGAGTTCATGCTTCTTTAACATAATGTTCAAATATGGAAGAAAATGCATCTATATTGCTAAATGAATCATTATATGTTTGAAATGCAGTGAGCACGTTGAAATTTGGCAATCAAAAGCAGGCGCAACTTGTCCTGCAAATACTGATAAATATTTCAGTATTATCATTTTCAAAACCGAACAATCAGCAGAAATTCAGAATTAATAAAGTCTGAAATATTCAGAAACTGAGTATCAAGCAGGAAGAAGGGACTATTTTGATGGTAAATATTATTTTAGCCAGAGTTATTGAATTGTTTCTATCTTTTCGGAAAAGTCAGCTGTGAAGCCTTTGTTTGCACTGCACTGATTGAAACAGCATCACATTTGCAACAGGATGCCTGAAAATTATGAGAAGCATAATTTTCTGACCTGGGACAGTCAAGTTATGTTGTAGAACTACAACATAACTTGTGCAAATCAATAACAGCTGACTGTTTTTGCTCCGAGATGACTCGTCATTCTTAAATAAATAGCGAGTCTGTGAAGCATTTACATGCTATAAACGCTGATGTCCAAAGGATCTTCAATAATTTCCTGGTGAACACAGGGCGCGTATCTTAAACCAACTGTAAAGCACAGCGGTGAGAGTGTTATGATGTGGGA